AATAGTAAACTAGCATTGTACCCGCCCTCTTCTGCAGTTCCCCATCAGGTCCATCAGCAGAGGGCGGGAACAATGCTAGTTTACTATTGGCTATTGCAAATTGAAATAGCCAATAGTAATGTCCCAATGCTTTTTAATGGGAAAATGTATTTATTTTTTTCTATTCTGACATCGATCGTGTCAGAATAAAGAAAAAAAAAGACACATCAGTGCTTCTCTCCTGGGTGGCCGGGAGCGGGAGGCTCCCAGAGCGCCCTGGAGAGGGTTTTTTTTTCGTTTTTTTTTTTAAAGCAGCAGAGCCGCCGGACAATAGGAAACTATTGGGCGGAGCTAGCTGTCACTGTATGGGAAAACTGTAGTCCACTGTATGGGAAATTTCAGTACTCTTTATTTTTATATACAACTTCTCTTACATCTAATTCACTCCTACTCTTATTTTGTATTTGTTACTTCTGGACTGAAACAGACCTTATTCAGTTTTCTGGGGATTGAGAAAACCTTTGCACAGACGAACAGGAACCAAGTATAAGACCTAGGTGCAAAACAGCAGACTGATTTTGAGACTTAGGGGTCTATTCACTGTCTATTCACAAAGCTGCCGAGTGCAGCCGAGTGAATGACCGATCAGAAGTGAAGTGAGCCGAACACTGTTCGGCTATTCACTTCAGGCTGGTACGGCTGATTTCAGCCGTATATCGGCTGAAATCAGCCGTACATCGGCTTGCTTCGTGTGGCTTCGGGTCAGCCGAACATGCTGAGCATTGACTTCCATTCATAAGCCCTCATTTCTTAAATGTATTAAGTGAAATGTAGATGGAATATTAATTGTAACATGAACAGTACAATATATTAGCAGACTTTTTCAGTTGATGAATGAGAGAAGTTGGCTGTGGATTTCAAATGCTTCTGTAATTAATGCACTGTTCATTCAATTAGAAACCTTTGTTTCATACAAATAGCTTATTGCTAACTGAAGACCTATGTGGCATTATCTTTTGGTAATAAGTAAATCCTCAACACAAATAAGAAGACTTTTTACTATTTCTACAGTAAGACATTATTACTCTATAAGATAGCAAATTGTGGTTTACTGTGCGGAAAAGAAAGGCATTTTGTGTGCACTCTAGCAAAACATTTTTGGTGTATCATTATAATGGCAGTGACTTTGAATAGGTGAACCATTTATTACACTGGGCAGGCCTCTTTATCTCCCTATGTGCTAGAAGGCAGAAAATTGATTGCTGGGTCTAGTTGGGCTGTATATATTCTGTGCTGAGCTCAGTACATATCATAGGTTAATATTCAACAATCCCTGACACAGCATCAGTTTGAACTCATGTAGTCATATAAAACTCATACATATGAAACAGCTAGACCTTCATGTTTTTCAAAA